GGTTTGATACCTTCTGTAGAGAGATGGCTAACAAGCAACATCTATTAGAAAGATAACCCCCTAACGCCTGGCCGACCTCGGCTGGCCGACCTCGGTAGGGCTGTCGCACGGCCGCCGCGCAGCCGAACGTGCCCTGGAAAGCTATCGGGCGTGAAAACGGGCGACCGGTTACCCGCATCGCTGGGATCACACGTGGCTGTTGGCAGGTAGGCCTCGTCATGCTGTTCCAGGTTAACCCAGTACGGCAGGTTCGTGTCGTGTCGACCCCGGCGCTGGTTTCTGACACAGCGGGGATCGTTCAATCTTGAACGATCGGGCGTTTCCGAAATATCAGCTCGGTCAACCTCGACCGTTTCTGGGTCGCAGACGGCGTTCAAAAATGAACGCCGGCGGCGGGGTCGCCGCCAGTCGACACGACGCGAACCTACCGTAGCCGTAATTGTGATCCTCAACCGGCTTTCTGCTCTTTCCCACGCCCCACCGCCTCCAACAAAAAACGCTCCAAGCTACGCGGGTAACTGGGGAAGTCAGCACGCATATCTCCGTTGATCCTAGTAGCTCGTTGCGGGCGTCGGGGTCAGCCATCCACGTGCCGCCTTTAACCCAGAAGTCGAAGTCGAACGCGGGTAACCAAGCCTGCCAGCAAACGGCGCCCTTCCCCGTTCTGACGCGGTGACGCGCTCCAGGGCTGTCCAACGGTAAGGCATGGCAGCGAACATTGGTTGCGTGATGGGCACGCGATAACACGACCTCGGGCTGCGCGCGGTACCAGCACGTGACGGGGGCCTTTCACGGAGTTCGCAGCTCATCCCTATTCAGTTGCTCGGGGGCATCTTCTGGAAGCACCGAAGGCGTTCGGCATGGAACGCCACGCGTAATGTATAGTCGACCACCGCGGGAGGTTCCTAGGTGTAGAACCACTACGAGGAGAGGGGGGCAGGCTACGACCTCGGGGTCTTCGGGGGAGAGAGGAGAGTAGTACGTATACGGTGTTATTGCGGAGAGGGGAGGGGAGGGGAGGGGAGAGGGGAGGGGAGGGGGGGAGGAGAGGGTAGGGAGAGAGGGAGAGGGGAGAGGGGAGAGGGAGGAGAGGAAGAGGGGAGGGGAGGAGGGGAGAGGGGGAGGGAGGAGGGAGAGGGGAGGGGAGGGGAGGGGAGAGGGAGAGGGGGAGGAGAGGGGCACGGAGCCGATGGCGAGGATAAGGGGAACAAAAGGCCTGCTGTATGTTCTCGTAGGGCTGCTCCCGGAGAGCCTCCACGGTCATCACCTGGAGAGACAGAGAGAGTGTGAAGCGAAAGAGCATGCGAGTCCAGTCTCGCTTGTGAAGCGGCTTGGGCGCGACACCACCTATCCGACGCTCCTGCGCAACTTGCAGCGATGCTATGTACGCCTTCTCCTGATTCATCCGCATCCTCATCCTCCTCATCCTCCTTCTCCTCCGCATCCTCCTCCTTCTTCTCCTCCTCCTCCTCCTACTACTCCTCCTCCGCCTCTTCCTCTCACAATCAAGTTATTCCTCCTCGTAGCCCTCCTCCGCCTCCTCCTCCTCCTCCTCCTCCTCCTCCTCCTCCTCCTCCTCCTCCTCCTCCTCCTCCTCCTCCTCTTCCTCCTCTTCCTCCTCATCATTGTGCTCCGTAAACCCCTCCTCTCCCTTCCCCTGACGCCAGAAAAAAAGAGGGGGCCGACAGGCAGCAGCAGGGGGAAGGACTGTGCAGCCCCTGCCCCGCTTCTTGCCCCGCTTCCTGCCTCAGGTGCTTCGGTGCTTCATGCTTCCTTCTCACGCATGTTCCTCCTCCCCCCCCCCTCCTCCCCCCTCCCTCCTCCTCCCCCTCCCTCCTCCCTCCTCCTCTGCTCCTCTTCCTCTCTCCTCCTCCTCCTCCTCCTCCTCCTCCTCCTCCTCCTCCTCCTCCTCCTCCATCCTCCCTTTGTCTCCCTATCCTCCCGAGCGCGACGTCGACGGCGACGGCGAGGCGACCTCGCCAGACGCCCAGCTCGAAGGCCGCCGAGGCGCACTGCCGCCCGAGGCGCCGCCGAGGGGGGCCGCTGAGGCCCAGCTCGACGGCCGCCGAGGGCCGCCCCGCAGGGCCGCCGAAGGAGGCCGCCTGCCGAGGCCGCCGTAGGGGCCTGCCCGGGAGGCCGCCGCCCGGGGGGCCGCCCGGGGGGCCTGCCCGAGGGGCCTGCTCGAAGGGCCTGCCCGAAGGGCCTGCCCGAGGGGCCTGCCCGAGGGGCCTGCCCGACGCGCTGCCCTTTTCCGAGCGCGAACGACCGCTGCCGCTGCGACGCGCTGCCATTTTCCGAGCGGCCTGCCCGAGGGGCCTGCCCGAGGGGCCTGCTCGAGGGGACCGCATCCCCAGAAGGCCCCCGAGATCCGACACTGCGCCAAGAGTGCGACATCGCGAGACACCACGACCGCAGCCCCTGACTCCCCTCTTTCTGCGGCGTGCTCCGAGCCGGAGCGATCCGCGGCTGGTCAGGGGGGCCCGACGCTGAGCGGGAACGA